ATTTCTGTCCTTCATCCCCTAACTTCTTCCAGTTACTCCAGTTTCTCACCTGACAATGGCACTGCTGCAGGAAATACGCAGCACATGCCATCCAAAATGGGAAGGAAGAAGACTTGCAGCTGGACAGATAGATAGGCTAACTGCCCACCTAGCTGTACAGAGCTAGAGCAGATTTTCATATAGTCTGTAATCTATAGGTGCTATCTACAGCTGCATCTCTTCTCCCGAGATCAGTCTCCAGCGTTGCACAGATGCCCTCACCTACTCCTTCTTTTTAATGGGAAGATTTATCTCCAACTGAATTCCACCCCAATTAAGTGGCTTCTCAAATAGGGCAGCTTTGCTGTTACTTTAGCATTTAAGGGAGATCCATACTTCCCCATGAGAATGGTACTTTAACGCTTCTGTCTTGTCCTCAACAGTAAGCAATTAACTGGCAGTGTAGTTCCCTTCTGGTTTGTACAGATGTATTTTATTTATCTGGAGCAGTACAGCTAGTGGGACCACTTTACCTGTTGGACCGTATGCAAAAATGGTTGCATTGTAGCCAGAAATGACTCCTTCTATCAGGCTTTTGGTCGTGGACACATATACTTCCTCCTAATTCAGTCAAAAAAGCATAAATTTACAGTCAGGCACAACAGCTGTCCAAATAATGTATACCTAATTGCATTCCCCATGAGTTTCTCATTATATTTTACAAATTTCCTGGGCTTTGAAACGATGCGTGAGCCAGTTGCATTTTGACAAATCATCAAAATGAGCAGAAAAGCGCAGAGGTTTATTGAATTATTTTAAAAGCAGGCAAGATGCAGGAGCATACTAAAATAAAAATCCTTAAATTTGATTATTTTCTTGGAATGCTCTGTTTTTCCTGTGTGTCTGCTGAAAAAGGGAGTAAATTCTCTCCCTGACCTCATGCTTTATTGAGAAGCGCTACTGGGCCTCCAGAAATGTCTTAGTTTACTTCCAAGCTGGAGTTTCATGTGAAAGAGAACCCAGATGACTGAATCACTTGTGAGGAGCAAGGCTGCCGTCACCCCACAGTGATCACAACGTGCAGGTGCTGATGAAACCCTCACACTGCACCTTACATCTGTCTGCAAAACCCGGCTCAGCGAGGGCACCAGAGCTCACATCACGAGCCTGTGAAACAAAAGAGGCGCAGGGAAGAAGCAACAGAGCCAAACGGTGTGACAATGAGCTCATCCACCGGAGACCTCGGGGAAAAAGCTCTTTGGCTGCATCTGGAGAGTCTCGACGTGGGAGTGAGAGGCAGAGTGGATACCGTACATCTCCCCGCTGCTCTGACAAATGGAAAAACCCTTCCAATCCTCTCACCTTCAGCAGTGTCACCTTTTATCTAGGAGGCATGTGGCCTCTGGGATGTACAGTGCTACTGTGCCTTTAAGCAGGGAAAACAATTCTGAAGTTAAGCCTTTTCATTAAAACAAGGGAAGGATGTTACCTGGGTTGCTCTGTGATCAAAAACCATGTCAAATACAAATGTTTTTTCTCGGGATCTGTTAGCTCGCATGGTCTCATTGGGATCTTCTCTTGGATCCATCAGGACCACCCTCTGGGATAAGACACAGTCAGAAGAAGAACCGTTATGTCTGGGTTGGTTAACAGCCTGGCAGGATATCTCTCTTGGCCAGAAGAATGTCGCCCTGCAGCTTTGCCTGGAAAACACCCTCACGTGCACAATGCCAAGCTGACAAGGTTTGTTTTGCAACTGCTGTAATTTGGAGAATTAGCAGCTGCTGCAAAGCGCTTTGAAGGTCCGTTAAGCAGCGAAACAGCTGCTGGCGTTGGGTAACGGTGGTGGCTGCAGGGACATGATGCCCCACCAACCCCTGTGCAAGCGGGCCGGGGGCAGGACTTCTC